TCTTCCCGGAAGTCCCCACAACGACTTTCTCAAACCTGCCTTCGTGGGTGGCTTGCCTACCTTCTTGACTATCATGCCAAGAAAGCAGGAACTTTATCTGACTTGTGCCTAAAATAGTCCTTAGTAATGTATTTGTAGAATAAATACATAAATGAAAATAATTTTTTAGTTGCAGGAACTGGTCATTTATTTAACTTGTGACTTGTGTTCATACACAATCACTATCTGTAGAAGTACAAAATGTGTATGTTTAATCGACAACTTACTCAAGATGCCGTCCAAGCGGCCAACAATCAGATGAAGAAATGTTCATGTTCATGAGCCATATGTGAAATACAAATTCACACAATGAGAGACCATATCAACATTGACACTCTTAACAAAATTAAAAAACAAAGTCAGAAAATACTAAATGCTGGCAAGGATGTGGAGAGATTGGAAGGCTCATGCATTGCTGGTGGGGTTGCAGAGTTGTACAAGCAGTATGGAAACCAGTATAGCACCTCCTTAAACAGATGCAAATGCCTAATGATCCTGCAATCGCTCTACTTGGGATCTATCCCGAGCAGACTTATGCACACCTATACTTATTGGAGCAATTTCTGTAAGAGCTAACAGAAACCATCAAAAACCCCACCTATGGAGGAATGGATCAAGAACCCCTGGTATTTTCCTACAATGGAATATTATACTTCCGTAGAAGCAATAAGTCTGTCAAACACCTCAGTCATAGGCAAAATTAGAGAACATTATGTTCAGCAAAGTTAGTCAATCTACAAGATAAGTATTTCGTGACATTTCTATAAAGAGAAAAAAAATTGTTTTCACACCATAGGATAAGATTTTAAGGACCACGATGGGGCCAGGGTCAGGAGGGATGGGGAGTGAGAGGGAAGAGACAGAAAAGGAGGGCGCAAGTGTGGGGGAAATAAGAAAGAAAAGAACCACATAAATGGGGGTGGGGAGGTGTTAATTGGATACTGTCATGGGTTTGATGAAATGGGCTGGGCAATTGCATAGAATATGTGTTTCTTTGTCTGTGTTGTAGGCCTCAAAAAACAGGAACAAAGACATGAAAATAGACATATAGATAAAAATATAAACGAGAGAGGGAGGAATCACCAGGGCCGCTGCCTTACCCCTCCCAATTTCTTACCCATCAGCTCGACTATTGCTCTGAGTGGCAATACATGGAGGAAACATAGAACAAAAACAGACTTGAATTCTTCTGTGACATCAAACCAAACATTTCAAAAGTCAGTTGACAACACAATGAACACACATGAGTGCGCTCAAGACGTCAGCCATGGAGCCCTTCTCCTGTTCTTTCCGACTGAGAGGAGCCGGCAGGGCAGTGGTTAGCGTGCTGGGCTGCTCATTCAGAAGTTGTGGTTCTGAATCCACCAGCTGCTCCACAGGGGAAAAGATTTGGTGATCTTCTCCCATTCACGTTACAACCGAAACCAAGTTCACTGCCACTGAGCGCCTTCTCAGAGTGACCCTGTGAGACAGGGTGGGACTGCCGCTGTGTGCTGTGGAGACTGAAGTTGTACGGGGAGTAAAATACCTCATCGTTCGTTCCCGACAAGGAGAAGCTTGGTGGGTTCCACCTGCTGACCTGGCCGTTACCAGCCCAGATGTAACCCACTCTTCTACCAGACTTGTTAAATCACAGCCTAGGAACCCCTTTGTGTCTGTTCCACTTTGCTCACTCTAAGGGTCACGATGAGTCAGAATAGACGCGGTGCCACAGAACAACAATATAGAACCAGATGAGATCTTGTGCCATAGCAACTGCTCAAAATATGGCTATGAATCAAAGAAATTCTAGATGGCATTAAGGGTAGGAAAATGATTTATTTTGATTTTTTTCTTTCTACTGTCAAGAGAGATCAGATAAAATATGTGTTTTATAAAAACACAGATGAAGCACAATGGGTTGAACATTTAGAATGGAATAAAATAAAATTCAGAGGAGTCCATAAATCTTAATTTAAGAAGAGCTAATATATAAACAGTAGGAATACTTTTCAAAGATGTCCAGATTAGAAATCAACAGAAAAGCATTTTCCATCTGCTTATAAAAGAATCGAACAAAAGTCAACAAAAGGCTTTCAATTGCTTACAACACAATTCCAGGTGTATCCATGTGAACAAGAATAAATAAATGGTCTACTTATATACCAATATTTTGCTATAGCTGGATTAAAAATGATATTCTATTTAAATTTGTCTTTAGTTCTAATTAATCATTGTGAAGGAGGATTTCCAAGGTAAAGCTACAACAACCCTGTAACAGTATTTCACACGAGGCATAGGATTTCATGTTTTAATCGCAAGTAAACATGCGTTAATTCAGTATCCCATTAAAACACTCAGTGTACATAGAATAAAGGAACCACTGTAGAGGCAACTTTTCAATAGATGACTGAGAGTGCATGGAGTCGGCTAACCTTCCTATAACGGGTTTATTTTTAAAGAACAGTTAAAATATCATCTTTGGGTACATTGAAATGAAATAAATACTTCTAGATCCTAAAATACACAGGAATCAATGGGGGCTATCACTTTCAATCCACGTCCAACACTTGCATGCCTCGTAAGTGGTAATGACTTCAGGCGCATGGCCTATGTAGGCCATTGTCAGTCAGCTCTCACATGTTCAGGGCCCAGAGTCAAGCGAGTAAAGAACTAGAACCAAGTTTAAAAACCAAAGCAACCGTCATAAAGTCAACATTGACTCCTAACAACCCCAAGAGTGGAAGAGTAGAACTTGCTTCTACTGGAGTTTCATGGCTGATTTTCTTGGAAAGCTGAGTGGCAGGTCTGTCTTCAAAGCTGCTCCTGAGTGGACTTGGACCATCAATCTTTTGGTTAGCAGTTAAGAGCACGAAACCATCTGCACTACTTAATCCTTCTGCTCTTTCTCCCAGCTGGGGTCTACGAGTTCGCAGGGAGCAAGCAGAGAAGACAGACTGAGGCTAAGCAAAGAGATTAGAGGGCTTAATTGTCCATCAGTAGATGGTGCTGAGGGAGGAACATTGGGCAGCTTTGAAAATCTGAGTGTAGCTGTTGGTTTTAAACTAAAAAGGAGGGTGGCCTGGTCATAATGGTCACTGTTTGAGTGAGTGCACAAGGTGATCAGGTATTTCACACAACAATTAGGATCAGGTTTTTAAAATGCAATTTCTTTCTAATATACAGTCTTTCCACAGGCTGCACATTACAGTTGTCTTTATATGAAAAAAAAAACTTGCAGCTTTTACATATGGAAATTTAAATCAGTATGATCATTTCCCTAATTTATCAACTTTTTCTTTCGTTCTTTCTTTTTTTTTTACTCAACTTTCTTTAACTCTGGTTAGAGAATAATATTTGTGATACCTCCCAGCTTCAACAATCTAATAATACATTTAACTCTATTCGCTAGGTCAATAATAAAAACATTAAATGCTAAGATTCAGACCAGACTCTCTCTGACTGTATTCAACTTCCTTCCCCAGCTTAAGGCTGCTAGTTTCTCTGTATCTGCTTTCCCTCCGCAATCCTTTGTCCATTTGGGTAAAAAAAAATATATGATTCAATGTTCTTTGAATTTTTTGTCCTAAAGAATATATTATGTATTATGCAGACGCTTACATATTGACGTAACCTGAGTAGACATACATAACAGCCATTGGACAGCTAGGTACCCATTCCTCCCTTATTGACAAGGTAGAGGTCCACAGACCAAGTCAGTATGAGAAAACCAGCCTTGTGTGAAAATGGAGGATGGCCACATCAGATCACAGAATGGAGCATGGCTACCTTCTATAACTGCCAAATTTCGTCAGGACATACATGTTAAACCACTGGGAACTATGGCACAGCCAGGGTGACATGTCACCTTCACTGTTGCAGCCAGAGTTACTGTTGCCTCCCCACTCCCTGTTCATTACTGCCAGATGGCTGATGTCATGAATGAGCAAAATCACTGGAATTTTAATCTGTAATGGTGAACTGTCCATCAGCGAAGAGTAGGTGTCTATCAAAGTCATTTTAAACACACAAGAATGCAATGATCTGTACAGAACCTTTAAAAATTACATTTAAAATGCGAAGAGGGTTGTACAGTGCTTAATGATTTCCATGATTAGTTATTAAATGTATGCTTTTATGCCTTAATTTAAAATGCTAAGGATACATTGAAAGAAATAACAATCTGTAGCAAATTTTATACTGACACATAAGTGTATGCATATATATGGATGAAAAACAATCATCCTAAGTCCGTATCAACAATTAATGCTTTGCAAAAAGTAATAAAAGCTTAATATTTTTCTTCCAAGTAAGTGTACTCCCCCATTCAATACAGAAGTCAAAAATATGTTACATAAATTTTTCTAACCTTTCTTTTTAATATATAAAGCATTTTATAGATAATATTTCTTAAGTTTCTTTCATAAGGCCTAGATTATGGTTCATATCTCATGACACCAAAAGTAATACTGCAACAGATATTAGAGCATTTTTTCAGCCACTTATTCTATAAAATATTAATTGCAAGCCTGTGCACGTGCTGTATATCTTGGGGATTAGGTAACTGAGTTCCTGCTCAGTTCTAAATCAATAAAAGATAACATGCACGGCATCAATCATCGTTCACTCCTCCTCAGAACATAATAACTGCAAGTGGAAGGAGTTGAAAACAAACATGCTTAAGCACTCATGGAGATATTTGGAGCTAGAGAAGAGGTGAACAATACTTACCTAAGAAGGACAGGTTTCTCTCCAGAAGTAAGTCTCGAAGCAGGACTTCATGCTCATGACCAATGGCGCTGAGAAGTTTGAGTTAAGGTAGGCAATGCAGAGACTGACCATTAAGGTACGCTTCACGATGAAATGGCTCATTGAGGCTAACCATTTCCACTTTCAGCCTACATCTCTGAAGAGTGCGATTTTTGGCACATTTCTCATTTAGATGATTCAATGAACTTTTCCCATCATGTTTTCACGGTAAACGAGCATTTGTAAATGAAAGAGGACTTGCACTGCCTTTGAAAAGTGAGAAGTCATTTTAAACCTCTGGTAGGCCATCCTAAAAAGCCCTCAATGCAACAAAACTATTGCCTGTCAGCTGGAACTCAGGGTGAGCCCCTACTTGCCAGAGTAGAATTGTCTTCCGTGTGGTTTTCAATAGCCACAACCGGGGAAAGGGTTAGGACTTTCTACCAGGTGCATCTGGAGTAGCGTCCAGCCTTTTGGGGGGTCAGTCATGCCTGGTCCATGTCTGCACTACCCCCAAACCAAAAAACCCAAACCCATTGTCACGGAATCAGTTTCCACACAGGGACCCCAGAGAGGGCGTCCAACACTATGACTACTTCATGGGAGCAGACAGCCTCAGCTTCCTCCTGTGCAGCAGCTGGTGAGCTTGAACCTCCAATCTTGTGATTAGTAGCCTAATACCTAACACACGGGGTCACCAAGGCTCTTTGTGCACCGCCCAGGGGCACCTATTTAACTCAGTGCACATTTGTTAACTTATTAATTTCATAGATGAAAAAACTGAAGCATGGAGAGGAAGGATTAAGGAACCAATACAAGTTCCATACAGCTAATCTGTGGCTGAGCAGAGGCTAAAAACAGATTCCTGCAAAGCCTGTGGTTAGGGCTACTATACAGCTGCTCTAAAGTACAAAATTGTATACTAATAATGAATAACAGTGGCTATTTATTAAATGTCAAGTACTAAGATGCTTTTGTGCTTATTAAGGTATCACCTTACTTAATTCACTCAGCTACCAACGTGTAGGTACCATAAATAGTCCCATTTTATACTTATGGTAAGTAGGATTCCAGGAGGCTGAAGAACTTGTTCAAGGTCCTCTGGCTAGTCCATGATAGAATGAAGCACAAGAGTTTGATTTCTGGTTTATTTTCCAAAGGGAAGGAGCCCTGGGGGCATAGTGGCTACGCATTGGGCTGTGATCCTTAAAGTCCACAGTTTGAAACTATCAGCTGCTCCGTCTTTCTACTGGAGTTGAAAACTAACAGCAGCAGTTCTACCCTGTCCTACAAGGTCTCTGAGATGGCTCGACGGGACAGCTTTGCTTGTTTGTTCCCTCCCGGGGGGCGGGGGGGAGGCGCGAGCCGGGGATATCTGAAAAGGAGTGTTTTCCTATTCCCGTACTTTAACTCCATCCAGAATATTTGGTAACAACGACTTGACTACTTTGCTTTCATTCACCATTGCACAGATAATGTGAGAACCTGGTCACTTTCACTCTTTGGCTGACTGAAAACTCTCATTCTGACGATTCACTTCAAAAAAAGGATATGCTTTATTAAAAATTCCTAGAGAATTATTCTGCACTTCATCAACACTTACAGGTCAATGTCTTTTAAATCTTATCATTCAAGGAATGTGGCCGCTCACAGCCCCTGCCCAAAGAACCCAGGATTCTCAATGTCATGGTTACTACCTTTTTTACTCCTGTCCCTCACCCCCCGGCCCCCCATCATACTCAATGCCCAGGGCTGCTCATATTTAATTTGTAGTGGAGGGAAAATAATAGAATCAAATTTTTAAATCACAAATTTCACCATTAGAGACATTTGATGAATAACGCTCCATGGTCTCTCATTACCAGGGGCATCCCACATTTTAGAACTAAATTATTTACTTCTATTCCACAGAAATGTGCTCTCACTTTTATTGTTGTAAATTATTTACATCTCAAATGTTGAATCATGAAACTGAGGTTACCGATGGCACAGACATGAAACCGCAGCACTGGAAGCTTCCTGCATCATGACTGCTTCTTTCACGGGTTCCCTGGTCAGGCCTTTGTCCAGGAGCCGGGCCCTAGACGCACACTTAGAAAAGTGGAGGTGGTGGGTTTTTCACACCCTCTGTGTCAGCGCCTGAGCTCTGTGGTAAGAGTGGTGGGGATGGGCATGGCGTTGTAGGAAAAAAAGTACTAATCTCTCAAAGGAAAAGCAAGTGTTAATAACAGCTCATGTACTAGTCGCTACTCTGCTTTTCAGTGTCAATCTAAACTTTATTTCTTTGATACAGAGAGCCACATGTAACATTTTCATGATCAAATAAAAACATTTTTTGCACAATTCCTATTTAATAAGTGTGTGCTTTCTCTCTTCCCAAATGAAGCCGCTGACAGAGGATATGCAATGTGAATATCACCAACGTATCAAAACAACATACAAACATCTCCCTTCATGTGGGAAGTGGATTCTGTTGGCTTGGTTAAAATAAAGATCATCTCTAAGAGTCCCATGACTGGTTGTGGCCTGGTGAACAGTGTTGTCAACATCTAAGTCAGTGCATTTGCACCATGCAAAATGGTTTCTACCTCAAGACAAAGAAAATCTGCTTATCTATAAGCTTCCTGGGTGGTTTGATTTTGCATGGCAAAAACAAGCACCAATCTGAAATTTCAGAAAAGAAACACTTCTTGATTATGCTCTTTGCGTGCTATAGGCACATATAAGCTGCAAGGTCTAGGAAATTAACCTTACAAAAACAAGAATTTTACTGGCAATGAGCATCATGGAGCCACAGAAATGGTCATCTAGTCAGTGCATGCAATTCGAAAACACATATCATTATCTTTATCAACTGAAATCATTGTACCACATTAAAATCTACTGGCAAGAGTGCAGCCAAAAAAGAAAAAAAGGAAAAGAGAAAGATGGCAAAAACGTTAAGGAAAATACTTCATACAGAATTTATAATGTGCTATAAGCAGAAACACTTAGACTTTGTCTATACTGATACCTATTATTGATGTATGGCAGTGACCGTGGGGCAAAACTTGTAAATAACCTCACAAGCCATTTTCTTCGCCAGCAATGCAGCAATCTAGTTTCCCGTAAGCATCTCAACTCTTACTGAAAAATAGCCTCCTGGCATTTACAAAGCAGTTGACTTCATACTTTAGTCCTTGCATACATAATCAGATAGTTATATTTAAAATCAATACGCAATCCTTCAAAAGACATTATGCTTTTAAAGCTTTAGCTTAAAGTTGATTTTTAACTATTTTATGTGCTTTAACATTAGCAGGCAGTTCAGCCCCAGAAACTCTGAGATGGTGTCATTTGTTCAGGAAATATGCTCAACACGATCACTGTAGGCACATGGGGTTGGAATTCCCACAATTTTTAACAAGATCTTTAACTTTATACAGAAAACAGGAGTATAGTTTCACTTTGGTCTGATAGAAAGCTGGCCTCCGGACAATGCTGTGTTTTCATTCCTTGAAGCTAGATTAGGGGTACAGCTTTGGAGAATAAATACACGGGGGAGGAGGGTTTCATAAAGTTTGTGGAAAATAGAACGAAAAGATCCTGGAATTTCCCCATGAACTTTTGGAAGCTCCATTGTGCTATACTTAGGTACCAAGTATTCTTGTAAGAGGGCTCAAATATAAGTCTATACTTCATGGTTTACTTTCATTTATGGAGGAGAAAATGAGAAATCTTCCTTACAAGAAAATTAACTGACTCAAAGCCTTTGTTAGGCAGATGGGATATAAACACACACACACACACACACACACACACAGAGTGCTCACAGACCTGATTAGCAAGGGCTCCCACTGAGTCACAACTGGTCACCGTGTGCCATCCTAACCACCAGCAAAACATGCCACAAGAAGAACACGTTTACATTATTAAGATGTTTGATAATTGTGGGCTGATAGAGATACAATCTTCATAAATATTTAAAACTACTAATTATTTAAGTAACTTTTTTGTCAAGGATTATCAAGATACTGCTACTATAACACTATTAAACATTGGCTATTAATGTCTTGCTTGGTAAGAAGTTAGCCGTCTTTCAAACCCTGCTTTAAGAGGTACGCATTAACTCTTTAAATGAGGAAGAATAATTTATAGTAGATGTAAACATGCCCATAATAAAGAATGACTGGCCATCTGATTTCACATTAAATTCCGTCCAGGGGGAAAAATTTGTAAGGTTTCTCTAAAAAAATGTTTACTAGGAATCCTAATGACGGCTCCGCTTTTAATCAGCATTTAAACGATAAGAATCTACTGTCCTTTAAGATGCGGTGGTCTTTAGCAGCATTTTAATCCCATCACCGCCTTTAACGCTAGGCTCAACACTTATTCTAGTACATGGAAAGGAATTGGGCTCATTTCAAATGGAACGTTATTATTACATTTTAAGAAATGTGCATGAGGATGGTAAAATACAACCCAAGACAGTGTATTTCCTGCCTAATGACTCTCTACCTTTAAACTCCTTGGAAACCACATGCTTTGAAATAAGCAGGCACATGTTCAACTGCTGAACTGACATCTTCCCGTGGCCCATCCAATGTTTCCTCAGCTGTAGAATCGAATGGTCTGCCGTGACCCTCCCATTGACGGAATGTAAAACAGAAGAGTATGAAATGGGTTTTGTGAAGCAGAACGTCATGTCAGGTTAAAGCTAGACACATCTCCTCCACCGAGTCTCAGCTCGTCAATCGTGCACCTAAAAGTTTATGGGCAAGGATACTGTTTGATGCAGTCCACCAGTGGTCCATAGCAACAGTCGTTCACAATGCACTGCAGACAAACAAGAGAAGAGGTCTGGGGTGGGTGGAGCGACTTTAAAAAACGAACACAGTTAAGCAGTATCCTAAAAGCAGTGACTACCTTTCTTCCTCCCCAAAAAAGAAGAAGGGGGGGGGGCAAAAAAGCTATCAAAGGCTGCGTAGACGAAATCACAGAAAATAAAAATTGCGTGCTTTTTATTCACTATAAAAGCAAGCGATTACAAAGTGAAATGCTCTTCTCACAAATATTGCATTGCCATTTACGGTGCACCCTGACCTCAGTGATAGTTTATGATGACAGTAATTAAATGAGGTTTAAAATCCTTTACTCTGCTAGGCAGATAACAGCATTGCCACTGAAAATAGACAGCTGTGATTCATACCTGATAGACCTGATTGGCTAGAACTCCATCTGGAATCTGAGAAGGGTCCCGCAGCATACTATTTATAACAGACTTGCAGGCTGTGGAAGCGGAGAGATGAACTATTAGCAGACAGTCAACAGACTTTTCATGGCAACATGAGAAGTGACATATACCTAGACATACACAGACCATGAAAATGAAAACATTCCTGATACCAATCATTTGTTCCTTTTTTTTTTTTTCTTTAAGGGACGCTTTTAATTAGACCGTTTTGCCAAGTTTATAAGCCACCTTGCCAGATTTGATGATGACCTAATTTTTCCAAGGTAAATTAACAAGTGCAGACCGAAAGCATATGTTTCTTTGCAGATAAATTAGCTTCGGCAAAGCCCCACTTGGTATAACACAACAAAAACCATCAGAAAAGAAAATATTTACCTTTTGCAGGTAGGTATTTAAGAACCAAGCATATGTACATGGAGAGCTCTGTGAAGGCAGGTCAGATTCACACTTCAGTGATGTCAATGGATATGGCTTCCAACTAAGAGAGGACTGCTTGATTCTAGGCTTCTCCAAAAATCATTCCCATTTTTGCTGTAAAATGTTATGTCCATTTTACAGGGGAGGAAAGTTAATATATAAAAACGGAGGTCTGTGGGATGAGGGTGGGGAGGAGGGGTTAAAAAAACGGAGGGACTCTTAAATAAGAAAATAAATATGTGTTTTTCTCCCAAAATATGCCCAATAATATTTATTTGCAAAGAACATAGACCGTGGCTCAGGAAACTATTGTAGAAGTGGGGTACCTAAAGGAGGTAGCTAATGAGGAAAGGGCCAGCAGATCATCCCTTTGAAAACCCAGATGGGACAGCTTGGCCTCGTTGTGGCCTCGGAGACAGGGGGCAACCAAGGAGGCCAGAACTCCTCTCAACGCAGGAGAGGAAGGCAAGTCACTGAATCCTCTAGAGAAAGCAAGCCCTGAAGCTAAGTCAACTACTGCCTAGGAAAAAAATCCTTTCAACCGGTCCAAATAGTCCCATACATTTAGCAATGTGCATTTAGGTTTGGTCTAAAAGTACAAATGGAAATGCATATGGGATAACGATGTGATCAATGTCATGAACACAGAACACAAATCTACATCGTGCAGGTTTTGAGGTAATGTTTGCCCTTTTCTATGTAGATTATTATGTTCTTTATCCAGTTCAGGATCATCTAAAACTGATGCATATGATCAATGTAGTCAATACTTTAGAAAGGTCAAGGGAAATTATACCTGTTATCAGAAAGGAGCAAATCAAACCAAACCAACAAACCAATGCCAATGAGTCCACTCTGACTTAAAAAAAGTTTTCATAGCAATAGTACTAAATAGATGATAATCTGCTAGGTCAGCTTACTCAGGTTGGTTTTGTTTATTTGTTTGTTTGTTTTTTTGAGGGGTGGCTATATTCTAAGACCCAGCCAGGAGGAAGAGCCCCAACACTCTCTCATGGACTTGGTTCTCTTCTCTGAGGGTGCAGTCTCTGGCTAATCACTCAGTCAGCAGATGGCAGATGACACATTCTTTCCTGCTACCAGCAATGCCTTCAGTGTCTCCATGAAACAACAGTGCTACCGTCAACGCCCGGACAGGCCACTGCTTAGGTGTCTCGGTTATATGTGAGGAAACAATTGTTAACGTATAAACGGCAGACCGCATGGTCAAAATGCTATCCTGAGAGAAAAGTACTGACTTCAGACCAAATGACACAGAAACTCACAGCTTAAATCATAAGACAAAGGCTCTCTTTCAAAGAAGAGGAACGATACTGAGAGAGGAGAAACGTCGGTCAATTATCCTCTGAGGGCAGAAAGGGACCTATTACAGAAAAATGAAACTGGTGACATCATCGTTTCCCTTATACATTTGAGAATAGTTGGCTTATCAGAATTAGGGATCAGAGCCAATAAAACTTTTGAAAGTCATTTGAAAATACTCAACAGAATACCATTCAAATCAAAGGATGTTTGTGAGAGGAAGTCGGTTGCTTTAAATCAGCTAGTAAAAACCATATATGGTGCGCACATTCATTTACAACTCAACAAAATTTATTTTCTTGTTTCACAACCTGCCTGTGTTTGGGGAGAGAGAGAAAGAGCTAGCGATGGCAACATGTGTACACATATGCTTGATACAATTGACATATGGATTGCTATAAGAGCTGAAAGAGCCCCCATTAAAATGATCTTTGAAAAAGAGAAAAGAGCTAATGACTAAAAAATCAAGGCCTCCGTGGCAGACCCAGGATGCACCTGCCCCCCAGACAAGACTCTTACTCCCTCAGACTGGAAGAGTGTGTCTGTGTCTCAGATCAAAGTCGAGACTGGACAATCTTGAGGTTCCGGGGGTAAGCATTTCGTGGAAACATGTGACTTGCATGGAAGCAACACTCACTTGGCAGTCATGTCCTGCTCCAGCAACTCCAAACACCAACCTCTAGCAAACCTAGGGGTCAGGGTGCAACTGCTCTAATACGTTTTTTAAACTGTAACTTCTAGCAACTAGCTCTGGTCAATTTTTGACCTGGTTATTGGAACACATCTAGACAAGTGTCTTATTTAACTCAACTTTCACGCCAGGCATTCGTACTGCTGATTTCAGCTTCCCTTGCTGTTCACCTTACCATTACTTCAACAGCTGAGATTTCAAATTTCTACCAAGCAGGGTCTTCCTGTTGCAAGAATGTGTGAATTACTTGGAATGAGATCCGCCAGATGAGCAGAGTATTGGTGAGTGATTAGCCAATTCTAGGGCCCACTAGACAAAAGTCATTATATGATACAATTCTGGACTTTATGTTAATTCCTCTTTCTCTAACTTTTTTTGAGTCTGTTATATTATTCGTTTGCTAACTTACCATTTTCATAAAATGAATTTTCAATCTTGTATTTAACATATATATGTTAAAGCCCTTTTTGTTTCCTCTTAATTCTGCTTAGCAATATCACACTACTTTTGTTGTAGTTACTCACAAATATTGTTTCCATTAAATTTTGAATTTAATTCATAAATCATTACAAACAACTTAATGTCTTGCTTCTAATTTTATTGTATTGTCATCACACATATATGGTGTTTATATTAGTTATTTGGTATTTATTTGACTTCCTTTGTGTTCTTCTGTGTGAACATCCTTTGTAATTTTGTTGTTGTTGTTAAGTGTCCTGAAAGCAGTCATGTTCTTACTTGGGAGAAAAAAGAGTTTCAGGTGTAACTCAAGAGCAAAGCCAAGCTCACTGTCATCGAGTTGATTCCAATTCATGGTGACCCTTTTGGAACATCACTGCTTGTGTGGTGTCTGAGTCTGTAACTCTTCACAGGAGTAGAAAGCCTCGTCTCTCTCCCACTGAACAGCTGGTGCTGACTCTACCAGTTAACGGCTAACCTGTAGGGTAACTACAGGGTCACCAGAGCTCCTCAGGTATAGCCAATCAGTCAAAAATTCTGCTTTATTCAAATCTTCTATATCGCTCAAATTTCTGTTTAAAAATTATTTGTAAAATAATCATATACTTCTCATAAATTCCATCCATGTTTGTTTTCTATATTCAGAGGGACACACAGATAGATAGATGTTAGATAGATAGATAGATAGATAGATAGATAGATAGATAGATAGATAGATACATAGATAGATACATAGATACATAGATATATAACAGAATTGGGTATTTAGTAATTATTGTTTCTACCTTTAAAAAACTTTTGTCCGAAATTCAATGTTATTTGGTATTAATTCTATTGTATCAATTTTCTTGTGGTTAGCATTTGCTTAATATCTCTGGTATTCCATTTCTTTATTAGAATTTTACTGTATCATTGTGTTTCATATATGCTTCATATATGTATAGCATTTAGCTGGGTTTTCTAAAAGCCCATTTTAAAAAATAGTGAATTTAGTCCATTTACATTCATCTTATCTGGTATTTTCAGGCTATTTTATTTCTTTCTCTCTTACCCCCCTTTTTAATGTTCAAGTTGATTATCCTTTTAAAAATCCCCTCTATCTTACTTTATTCACTGCAAGCAACATATTCTACTCTTATATCTCTGTCTCTTCAAAAAAAGTTTTACTCAAAAAAATCTAAGCTTCATGAATAATTTCATCATCTTCATAATTAAATGGAATTACGATAATACATTCACAACAATCGAGCACCCTACCCCTCAGCCTCCAGTTTATTGTGATGCTGTTGGATTGCTAACCAGAGGTTGGCAGTTCAAAGTCACCAATGGCTCTATGGGAGACACACGAGGCTGTCTGCTCTGGTGAAGTTAGCGTGAGCTGGAATCAACTCAATGGCAGTGGGGCTGGTTTATTATTCTTGTTTAACAACCTTATTTTTAAATACAACTTTACAATTAGTTTCAATTTTTAAAAGACCAATGTTATTTATTTTGGGTTGTTAAAAAAAGCACTGGACAGCTAACTGCAAGTTTCTTGGTTCAAACCCACCAGATACTCCATGGGAGCAAGATGAGGTTTTCTGCTCTGGTTAAGATTTACAGCCTTGGAAACTTTATATACGGTCACTATGATTTGGGATCAGTTTGATAGCAGTGGGTCTACTTTTTCAGTTTTCAATTTACTTTTCAGCATTGCTTCTTGACTTCTGCTCTAATTCTGGGCCTAATAGATTTCTTACTAAAAAAATGACTTACTAGATTTTTTAGTTGGGTCACTGAATAGATTGATGCTTTAATGTAATTCTTCTAATCCTTTCTCTAATGTTTTTGTCTAATACCCCACCCAGGACAATTTTATTTATAAATGTGTTTTTTTTTCCGTTTATATAGTTATAGTCTTTCTTTTTACTTATCCAATCATTTTAGATACTTATTTTATCGATGTATTTTAGAGTTTATGTATCAGGTTTTCTAGACCTACTTTACAGTCTCTTCATTTCCGAAGCTCTAGTTCATAGTACAAGATTCCTCCTTCTAGCATTTATTTATTTATTTATTTATTTATTTATTTATTTATTTATTTTAACTTCTCCATGGTAGTTGATTTCCTCACCTGGTTTGTCAATTTTTACTGTGGGTTTATTTTCA